TCGAATCTATGTATGATAACATACTGCCAGTGTTCAGCAAGAGCATGTTATCTTGAGGTTATCTTGAGATGATTTCGGGGCTTTTTTTTTCTTAGTGTCCCAGCGGCCCGGTCCTCGACCAGGCCTCCACCCCCAGGAAGCAGCCCATGACAGCTGACTAACACCCACGTACCTATTTTACTGCTAGGTAACAGGGGCATAGGGTGAAAGACATTCTGCCCATTGTTTCTCCCCGGCGCCCTGGATCGAACCCAGGACCACAGGATCACAAGTCCAGTGTGCTGTCCGCTCGGCCGACCGGCTCCCTGCATTTTAAAGCCTTTTAAATGGCTAGCATTTGTTTGTAAAGTTGAACATCCATTTGGGAGTCTTCAACTAACTACAAAGTTTCCTGCTCTAACTGCTGCTCCGGTTCCTAGTGCCAGCTGGTCTACTGATCCACCTGTGGAGTGAGTGAAGCTCTCAGATGTCAAGTTGGCTTCTATATGCATCTGTGCAATGTTGCGTAGCAGATGAGGATTAGTCTAGTTCTTTTTATTTTCCAATTAAGGAGACAGGTGCGTAAAATTGCCCTTAGCCACCTGTCAGTGACGTAATCACCAACCACCTGCCAGTGACGTAATCACTAACCACCTGCCAGTGACGTAACCATCTGCCAGTGACGTAACCATCAACCACCTGCCAGTGACGTAATCACCAACCACCTGCCAGTGACGTAACCATCAACCACCTGCCAGTGACGTAACCATCAACCACCTGCCAGTGACGTAACCATCAACCACCTGCCAGTGACGTAATCACCAACCACCTGCCAGTGACGTAACCATCAACCACCTGCCAGTGACGTAATCACCAACCACCTGCCAGTGACGTAATCACCAACCACCTGTCAGTGACGTAATCACCAACCACCTGCCAGTGACGTAACCACCAACCACCTGCCAGTGACGTAATCACCAACCACCTGCCAGTGACGTAACCATCAACCACCTGCCAGTGACGTAATCACCAACCACCTGCCAGTGACGTAACCATCAACCACCTGCCAGTGACGTAACCATCAACCACCTGCCAGTGACGTAATCACCAACCACCTGCCAGTGACGTAGCCATCAACCACCTGCCAGTGACGTAATCACCAACCACCTGCCAGTGACGTAATTACCAGCCACCTGCCAGTGACGTAACCACCTGCCGGTGATGTAACCACCTGCCAGTGACGTAACCACCTGCCAGTGACGTAATTACCAGCCACCTGCCAGTGACGTAACCACCTGCCGGTGATGTAACCACCTGCCGGTGACGTAACCACCTGCCAGTGACGTAATCAACCACTTGACACCTTCATCATCCACCCAACGAGTCTGTCAACTGCTCTTGACACTCCCGTAATAACAACCTTGACGTCATTAACATATTATTGTAGTTTGAGTTCTCTGAACAACGTGTGTGTGTGTACTCACCTAGTTGTGCTTGCGGGGGTTGAGCTCTGGCTCTTTGGTCCCGCCTCTCAACCGTCAATCAACTGGTGTACAGATTCCTGAGCCTATTGGGCTCTATCATATCTACACTTGAAACTGTGTATGGAGTCAGCCTCCACCACATCACTGCCTAATGTGTTCCACCAGTTAACTACTCTGACACTGACAAAATTCTTTCAAATGTCTCTATGCTCATATCGACACTCAATTTCTACCCGTGTCCCCTTGTTCGTGTGCCCCTTGTGGTAAATAAACTGCTTTTATCTACCCTATCAATTCCTTTGAAAATATTGTATGTGGTGATCATGTCCCTCCCTAACTCTTCGGTCTTTCAGCGATGTGAAGTTTAATTCCCGTAGTCTCTCCTCATAGCTCATACCCCTCAGTTCGGGTACTAGTCTGGAAGCAATCCTTTAAACCTTCTCCAATTTAGTCTTATGCTTTATGAGATGTGGATTCCCATGCTGGAGCTGCATACTCCAGGACTGATCTGACTTACGTAGTATGCAAGGTTCTAAATGATTCCTTTCACAAGTTTCTAAAGGCCGTTATTATGATGGCAAACCTGGCATATGCTGCTGATGTTATCCTCTTGATATTGAGCCTGGCTTCATGCCAGGCTCGATATCAGGCCGAACACTCTCCAAGCTCCAGGTATATGGGCTTCAGGGTATAGGTCTGGCGTGATATCAACCCCCAGGTCTTTCTCTCTCTCAAATTCTAGAACAATTTCGTCTCCCAAATGGTACTTTGTATCTGGCCTCTTGCTCCCTACACCTGTGTTTATTACATTACATTTGCTGGGCCTGGGGGTACACTACTGCTCACAGGATGGGCCTGGGGGTGCACCACTGCTCACAGGATGGGTCTGGGGGTACACCACTGCTCACAGGATGGGCCTGGGGTTCCACCACTGCTCACAGGATGGGCCTGGGAGTACACCACTGCTCACAGGATGGGCCTGGGGGTCCACCACTGCTCACAGGATGGGCCTGGGGGTCCACCACTGCTCACAGGATGGGCCTGGGGGTCCACCACTGCTCACAGGATGGGCCTGGGGGTACACCACTGCTCACAGGATGGGCCTGGGGGTGCACCACTGCTCACAGGATGGGGTGCATAATAAATTAAACAAGTCTAAACAACCATCTCTCAGTTGTAACATTACAATTAGTGGAGCTCTCCGTCTTGCGCTTGTCAAGTTCCTCATTATCCACTAGGATGGTTTGTGAGTGTGTGTGTTGGTGTGGGGGTGTGTAGGTGTGGGGGTGTAGGTGTTGGGGTGTAGGTGTGGGTGTGTTGGTGTGGGGGGTGTAGGTGTGGAGGTGTAGATGTGTTGGTGTAGGTGTGAGGGTGTAGGTGTAGGGGTAGGTTTGGTAGACGTGGGTGTGTAGGTGTGGGGGAATATATGTGTATGTATTTATTATTTTGTACCTTCAGGATCGAGCTGTTAGCTCCTGGTCCCCACCATTACAGGGAGGTAGTTTCCCTTCATAGTGAACTGTCTCTTAACACGTGTTCCAATTTCCAGCGTCTTACAGTTGTATAGTTTTAAGTTCGGTCGTACAGTCAAAGACCGGGACACAATGGTCACTGGCTCCTAGTGGTATTTCGTGTTGCAACTTCTCAATGTCTTCCAGCTGTCTAACTCCCAGGTTCCTAATTAGTGCTAGGTGAACAGGTACATCAGGTGAAAGAAACTCAGCTTATTTGTTTCTGCCTTGGCCGGGAATCGAACTCGAGCCCTTAGGACTACGACCCTTGAGCACTGTTCACTCGGCTGCGAGCCCCCCCCCCCCTGTGTGTGTGTGTGTGTGTGTGTGTGTGTGTGTGTGTGTGCGCGCGCGTGTGTGTGTGTGTGTGTGTGTGTGTGTGTGTGTGTGTGTGTGTGTGTGTGTGTGTGTGTGTGTGTGTGTGTGTGCGTGCGTGCGTGCGCGCCTGCCTGCCTGCCTAAGTGTGCACGTGCGTGCGCGGGGACCAGCAGCCAAACACGCACGTGCGTGCGCGGGGACCAGCAGCCAAACACGCACGTGCGTGAGCGGGGACCAGCAGCCAAACACGCGCGTGCGTGCGCGGGGACCAGCAGCCAAACACGCACGTGCGTGAGCGGGGACCAGCAGCCAAACACGCACGTGCGTGAGCGGGGACCAGCAGCCAAACACGCACGTGCGTGAGCGGGGACCAGCAGCCAAACACGCACGTGCGTGAGCGGGGACCAGCAGCCAAACACGCACGTGCGTGAGCGGGGACCAGCAGCCAAACACGCACGTGCGTGAGCGGGGACCAGCAGCCAAACACGCACGTGCGTGAGCGGGGACCAGCAGCCAAACACGCACGTGCGTGAGCGGGGACCAGCAGCCAAACACGCACGTGCGTGAGCGGGGACCAGCAGCCAAACACGCACGTGCGTGCGCGGGGACCAGCAGCCAAACACGCACGGGGGTTTTAATAAAACAAGCAACAAAAACAAGAAGCAGGGTACTCCACCTTTAGTAATAGATGTAAGAGGCCAACATAATGCTAAGCCACGCAGACTAAAAACGTCAAGATTCTTACGAAAATTAAAAGTAATTACAACCTTCTTTGATTGAGTACCATATGATTATTAAACAATAAATTGAATCTCCCCTCGTGATCTTCAGTAGAGTAATTGTACACAAGAGCTTATGGTGGCTTAGTGGTTGTGGTTGATGATGCCTCAAGATGACGGAGTGCCACACCCGGGGGCTCGTATATCTCTCTGTCTCTCTCTCTCTCTCTCTCTGTCTCTCTCTCTCTCTCTCTCTCTCTCATTGTCTCTCTCTCCCCCCGTCTCTCTCTCTTTATCTCCCGCTCTCTCTTTGTCACTCTCCCTCTCTCTCTCTCTCTCTCTCTCTCTCTCTCTCTCTCTCTCTCTCTCTCTCTCTCTCTCTCTCTCTCTCTCTCTCTCTCTCTCTCTCTCTCTCTCTCCCCCCGTCTCTCTCTCTCCCTCTCTCTCTTTATCTCACGCTCTCTCTTTGTCACTCTCTCTCTCTCTCTCTCTCTCTCTCTCTCTCTCTCTCTCTCTCTCTCTCTCTCTCTCTCTCTCTCTCTCTCTCTCTCTCTCTCTCTCTGTCACTCTCTCTCAGTATATTTCAGGAACTATGGCTGTATTGCTCACTAATTTCTAAGTTTGAAAGACTTGCCTCTTAGAGGATTAGACTCTCGTCTTGTGCACTCCCAAGATGGCTTGAGCAACAACCACATCAAATATGTGTATATAATCAACACATGTGACCTGCACACCTGGGACGGCCTTCCCACGACGGGGACGACCTGGTGCTTCAAGGTCATCCCATCGTTTATGGTCTTTGACGTTTTTCACGTCTCTTGATTGGCCTGGAGAAAAAGGTGGGCGTGGCCGGTCAAGCTCCAACGCCAGTCATAAGTATAACTTTTGCACAGTTTGCCCTGATAGGTCGTCCGGACATGAGTGGGCGTGGCGTGGTGTTCCGCAGGACGTCGAGAAGTAATGCATCTTGTCATTGTGTCTCCTGACAGGTTCTTCAGGCGGCAGTGGGCGTGGCCTACCAGGGTTCTCCCTCCTACTATTGGTCAAGAACGAAGAGTGGCTCCACTCATTTCTCCCAACGACCGCACATTGGTCCTCTACCGCACGTCAACGAGGTCATGACGGAGTGGGCCCGCTGGAGCTCCTGGGCCAGGTGTTCCAGGTCAGTCCAGGTTAATTCAGGTCAGATACGTGTCCCTGGTCAGTGCCTAGTTACCAAGGCTGATCTTGTGGGACTTAACAGACAGGCTGTGTATGTCAGTGTGGATGGGACCAGACGTGTTCTCTACTCACCTCTGAAAATTTGATATGTAATAATAATATATTTTCCCCTAACTTTTCTTTCTTCCTGCGAAGAGAAATTTAATTCCTGTAAGCTTTCCTCATAACTCTGGTGGCATACATTTGAACCTTCTCCAATTTCGTGATGTGTTTGACTAGATGTGGACTTCAGGCTGGAGCTGTATACTCCAGGATTGGTTTGACATATGTGATATAGAAGCATTCTGAATGCTTCCTTGCACAAATACTCCAGGATTCGTCTGACATATGTGATATTCTGAATGATTCCTTGCACAGATTTCTAAAGGCAGATCATATGTCGGCCAACCTGGCCTTGCCAGTGATAATATCCTTTTGATGTGGGATTCTGGGAAGAGGTTATGTGTAATATAATCGTCGCCTCTTCCCCAGATCTTTCCATCTTGAAGGCTTTCATCTCGCATTCAGCATATACCTGGTTTCCGGTTTTCTGTTTTCCACACCTAGTTATATTACATTGCATTTACTCGAGTTAAATTCCATTAGCAATTTGTTGAACTATTCTTTCAGTTTGTCGAGGTCATCTTGAAGTATTTTGCTATCCTCCTGTCTTAATCCTCCTCATAATTATTGCATCATCTGCAAACATTCACAGGAATCAGTCTATTCCCTCCGGAAACTCATTTATGTATATCAGGAAAATGAATAATACTGACCTCTGTGGGGGCTGCCTTATCCCCCGGAGCACCATCTCTGTCACTTCTGTCTGCTTCTCCAACTTATGCCCTGATCTCTTATGGAGTACTCTGTCTAAGGCTTCCTGACAGTCAGAGACTATGCGGTCTGCCTGCCCTTCTGTCTTGGCTAATTTGTGTTGCCTGGTCATAGAATTGTTTTCCACTTGTGAGACAAGATTTGAACCAGTGTTGGTGGTGTGTTACAAAGTCCCTTCTCTCCAGGTGCACAACTAGCATTTTTCTCACTCTTCTACATCACTATGCTCGGTATGAAAGTTAGGGACACTGTCCTGCAATTAAAGGCCTCTTGTATCCCTCGTGTATATTGGGAGTAGAGTAGCTATGTACTAACTTTCCAGTATATCTTCTGTTTCCGGTTACCTATTATTAATCTCAAACTCCTCCAGTAGTGGCTGGTTTGATGGTTCTTAGTTCACGATCTTCTCCTTGATCTATTGTGAAGACCTCCTGGAATCTCTTATGTATGTTGTATGATGACGTACGTTTATTATGACGGGTGTATTTAATGACGGGTGTGTGTATAATGACGGGTGTGTATAATGACAGGTGTGTATAATGACGGGTGTGTATAATGACGGGTGTGTATAATGACGGGTGTGTATAATGACGGGTGTGTGTAATGACGGGTGTGTATAATGACAGGTGTTTATGATGACGGGTGTGTATGTGTATGTATGCGGCGGGGGGGGGACACATGTTTAAATGCAAAGTGTGACCTTAATGCCCTTGTTGTCCCCAGGTCGTGTGGAGGCGGCGTCAGGTCAAGGAGTCGGACTTGTGTTACCAGGTTCCCGAGGTAAGTCTGAAAGTCTTGCTGCTTATCTTTGCAAAGTCTTGGTGGTTAACTTTGGAAAGTCTTGGTGGTTAACTTTGGAAAGTCTTGGTGGTTAACTTTGGAAAGTCTTGCTGGTTAACTTTGGTAAAGTCTTGCTGGTTAACTTTGGTAAAGTCTTGGTGGTTAACTTTGGAAAGTCTTGCTGGTTAACTTTGGAAAGTCATGCTGGTTAACTTTGGTAAAGTCTTGCTGGTTAACTTTGGAAAGTCTTGGTATTTAAGTCGGATTTTCCTTTGTGATTATTTCAGGAAATTATTTATTGTTAAGGTGTGACAAGAATTAGTCATTAAGGCTGTAAAGACTTTGTGGGTTAAGCATGTAAAGTCTTAGTCCTCTTTGCATGAAAAGTCTTCGTTTTTATGCATGAAAAATCTTGGTTAAGTGTATGCAAGTTTTATATCTGAGCCTGAAGGGGGCTTCAAGATTAGGTAAGAAAAAGTCTTGATATTAAAGTCT